GGTATACCTGTATGTTATATGTATGGCTCATCATTACCTTACAGGTGTGTTAGTGTATTGTCCTCTTAGGTATACCTGTATGTTATATGTATGGCTCATCATTACCTTACAGGTGTGTTACTGTATTGTCCTCTTAGGTATACCTGTATGTTATATGTATGACTCATCATTACCTTACAGGTATGTTACTGTATTGTCCTCTTAGGTATACCTGTATGTTATATGTATGGCTCATCATTACCCAACAGTAATGTGTTAATGTATGGCCATCTTGGGTGTACCTTTATAGAAAATGTATGACTCATTAATTCTTTGCAGGTGTGTTACTATATGGACCACCAGGAACAGGGAAGACACTTCTTGCCAAAGCTGTCGCCACAGAATGTTCACTCAACTTTCTCAGGTCAGTACCACACAGAGTTTCACTGATTCAGAGACTAGCTCACAACAAATATAGTTCATGTCCGCCAAGTCTGTAGAGCAGTTAATGAAAATATTGAGAAAGGATGAGGTTATTTCTTAATGCCGTATGAAGTAATATTGAGTCCAAAAAAGTACTTTTATAAATTACATTACTATATTTAAACAACTGCAGAAACAAAACAAGAAATCATTACCAGTGTAGTTGCTTTATTCAGAGAAATCTTACTTAACCCGTTAATTAATTTCATATGATGAATGTATGAGAATGTGTTTTGTTTCAGTGTTAAAGGCCCAGAACTGATCAACATGTATGTCGGGCAGAGTGAACAAAATGTCAGGGAAGGTAAAGAAAAACCTATCTAGCATATCTAAGTTTACAGCTTATTTCATTTAATGTACATATACCAAAAAGGAATCATTTTGAAAAGGTCGTTTTGTTTGTGAAGGATTCAGGGCTGATTTTAAAATTGAGATATATTTGATGAACTATTAGAGGTGCCATGTTTAATTGCTGTGTCCTATTGTTGGCAGTGTTTCATCGTGCCAGGAGTGCCACACCCTGTGTTATATTCTTTGATGAGCTGGACTCTCTTGCCCCTAACCGGGGAAAGAGTGGTGATTCTGGAGGAGTCATGGATAGGTGAGCATATCTTAGATGAAATTGCTGCTTGTAATGGCACTGGAGCCTGATTAGTCCGGAGACATTGGTTTCCAATAAGAATACATTCATGATAAGACTTTTTACTGAATGATGAAACAGATCTTTAATGTCCTGAATATTAGGGGCTGAAAAGAAGTAAGTTGGCATATGGATCATCAGGGTTTCACTCAGTGTATTCTGTGGAAAGATTGTCAGAAACAATGGACTCTGTGTGCTCCACCAATTACATTGGAGTTATTCTACTTTCAGGGTTGTTTCTCAGATGTTGGCAGAGTTGGATGGCCTTCATAAGTCATGTGATGTGTTTGTGATTGGAGCGACGAACAGGCCAGACTTATTAGATCCCGCCCTACTTCGACCTGGCAGGTAGGCATGGCATGCTGTACTGGACAATAGTTCCAGGTACAGTATGAGTGATTGGGATCTGGAATATGTGATATTATGAATCCCAAACTGTACTGTTGACAGGATTGGTATCTACTGAATCAGGAATAATAAATTGATCGTATGAACTGACCTTCTATCAGTATATATATATATATATATATATGGTGGTGTTTATACAGGCTCTGGTCAATCTGACAAAAAGTATTGTAATTTGTGTGTTATGGCACTAGATCTGTGACCAGAAACAGAAGTATTGTAATTTGTGTTATCAAAGCTTTGTGACCTGATATATGGTGGATATTCTTGGTGTTTTGTTGAGTAATTACAGTTACCATGAGTGGGATGAATATTTTAGTGTGTAGCACAAGTAAAAAGTATGAAAAATATTAACCCTTTCACCACTGTAGACCATAATGGACTGGTCCAGATCAATGTTTGGTAGAGTCTACTGAAGTTACTTAGGGGTGAAAGGGTTAAACCCATGAGTAAAGTATAACACATCAAGACACCAAGAATATTCTATTTATTATGTTTCCCTTATAAAGACATGGCTTTCTGTGAATAGATTGTCCTTCCCCAACCAAAAGCGTGGAGAGTGAGATAATGATGTATTATAATGTCATAATCAGGAAACGTCAGGGCTATTGTGACATCACTATTGACCATGCTGTTGTTTATTACTTTCCACACTATCTGCTATCTAATTGGTCAGTTTAGTGTGAAAATAACAAAGTGTTATTTGCCATAGAAGAAAAAAACCAATATTATTTTCAGTGTATTACAACCAGTATTTGTACGGCCTGAGCTTTGTGTCCTGATAAAGAAGTACTTAAGTATTATTTGCTTTGTTTTTTGTCTCCAGGTTTGATAAATTGCTGTACCTCGGTGTCAGTGATGACAACGACTCTAAGCTCCGGATAATCAAGGCCCTCACCAGGAAGTAAGTACTTCACAGTGGCCATGTTACACAATTGAAAGATGATATTACTCTGGTATATGAATGTTACAAGAAATTGGTTATGTTTAGGTGATCAATACATCTAAACGTTTGTAAGTCCAAGATTTCAAAGCTTGAATGATGTAAATGATTTATGCACTAACATCAATACTAGTTAATATTATTTCATATAAATATGGTCACCAAAGGATTATGATTTGTTGAACCCTTTTTGCACTGTAGACCATAATGGACTTATCCAAATCAATGCATGGTTGAGTTTATTCAAGTTACCTAGGGGTGGAAAAGTTAATAGATAAAAAGATGAGAAAAAAAATTCTCCAGTTTTCAGTATAGCTACCTGTTCTTTAAAGAATTGCTCACTAGAATACCTGGGCAAATTGGTGGTAACATTTTAAAAATGGAACATTAAAACTTTCTACATTTCAGTACAAAAGGGCACACATTTTTCCCCGTTATATTCTGTTACCAGTACTTGCAACTGTTTAAGGCTACACAAAACAGCTCTAAAACCATGTCTCATTCTGAATTTCATATTTTTTCAGATTTAAGCTTGCAGATGACTGTGATTTGTCTGCAGTGGTAGCTGAATGTCCCAAAAATTTGACTGGTGCTGACTTTTATGCCTTGTGCTCTGATGCCATGCTTAACGCCATTAAAAGACGGATACAGGCACTAGAAACAGGTGAGTCACAACAGATACAGGTGCTAGAAACGGGTGAGACACAACGAATACACGCACTAGAAACAGGTGAGTCACAACGGATACAAGCACTAGAAATAGGTGAGTCACAACGGATACAGGCGCTAGAAAGAGGTGAGTCACAACGGATACAGGCGCTAGAAAGAGGTGAGTCACAATAGATACAGGCGCTAGAAACAGGTGAGTCACAGGACACAGGCGCTAGAAACAGGTGAGTCACAGGACACTGGCGCTAGAAACAGGTGAGTCACAACGGATACAGGCGCTAGAAAGAGGTGAGTCACAATGGATACAGGCGCTAGAAACAGGTGAGTCACAACGGATACAGGCATTAGAAACAGGTGAGTCACGGACACAGGTGCTAGAAACAGGTGAGTCACAGGACACAGGCGCTAGAAACAGGTGAGTCACAACGGATACAGGCGCTAGAAACAGGTGAGTCACAGGACACTGGCGCTAGAAACAGGTGAGTCACAACGGATACGGGCGCTAGAAACAGGTGAGTCACAATGGATACAGGCGCTAGAAACAGGTGAGTCACAACGGATACAGGCATTAGAAACAGGTGAGTCACGGACACAGGTGCTAGAAACAGGTGAGTCACAGGACACAGGCGCTAGAAACAGGTGAGTCACAACGGATACAGGCGCTAGAAACAGGTGAGTCACAGGACACTGGCGCTAGAAACAGGTGAGTCACAATGGATACGGTTGCTAGAAAGAGGTGAGTCACAATGGATACAGGCGCTAGAAACAGGTGAGCCACAACGGATACAGGCATTAGAAACAGGTGAGTCACGGACACAGGGGCTAGAAACAGGTGAGTCACAGGACACAGGCGTTAGAAACAGGGGAGTCACAATGGATACAGGCACTAGAAACAGGTGAGTCACAACGGATACAGGCACTAGAAACAGGTGAGTCACAACGGATACAGGCGCTAGAAAGAGGTGAGTCACAATGGATACAGGCGCTAGAAACAGGTGAGTCACAGGACACAGGCGCTAGAAACAGGTGAGTCACAATGGATACAGGCGCTAGAAACAGGAGAGTCCCAACGGATACAGGCATTAGAAACAGGTGAGTCACGGACACAGGGGCTAGAAACAGGTGAGTCACAGGACACAGGCGTTAGAAACAGGTGAGTCACAATGGATACAGGCACTAGAAACAGGTGAGTCACAACGGATACAGGCGCTAGAAAGAGGTGAGTCACAATGGATACAGGCGCTAGAACCAGGTGAGTCACAACGGATACAGGCATTAGAAACAGGTGAGTCACGGACACAGGGGCTAGAAACAGGTGAGTCACAGGACACAGGCGTTAGAAACAGGGGAGTCACAATGGATACAGGCACTAGAAACAGGTGAGTCACAGGACACAGGCACTAGAAACAGGGGAGTCACAGGACACAGGCACTAGAAACAGGTGAGCCACAACGGATACAAGCACTAGAAATAGGTGAGTCACAACGGATACAGGCGCTAGAAACAGGTGAGTCACAACGGATACAGGAATTAGAAACAGGTGAGTCACGGACACAGGTGCTAGAAACAGGTGAGTCACAGGACACAGGCGCTAGAAACAGGTGAGGCACAGGACACAGGCACTAGAAACAGGTGAGTCACAACGGATACAAGCACTAGAAATAGGTGAGTCACAACGGATACAGGCGCTAGAAACAGGTGAGTCACGGACAGAGGTGCTAGAAACAGGTGAGGCACAGGACACAGGCGTTAGAAACAGGTGAGTCACAATGGATACAGGCACTAGAAACAGGAGAGTCACAACGGATACAGGCGCTAGAAACAGGAGAGTCACAGGACACAGGCACTAGAAACAGGTGAGTTACAACGGATACAAGCACTAGAAATAGGTGAGTCACAACGGATACAGGCTCTAGAAACAGGTGAGTCACAGGACACAGGCGTTAGAAACAGGGGAGTCACAATGGATACAGGCGCTAGAAACAGGGGAGTCACAGGACACAGGCGCTAGAAACAGGGGAGTCACAGGACACAGGCGCTAGAAACAGGTGAGTCACAGGACACAGGCGCTAGAAACAGGTGAGTCACAATGGATACAGGCGCTAGAAACAGGTGAGTCACAGGACACAGGCGCTAGAAACAGGTGAGTCACAGGACCAGGGTAATACTACACAGGTAAAACTTCTTGATGTCAAATGGACGAGAATTTGACCTGAAATTGACATCAAGAAATTTTGCCTGTGTAAGCAAACAGTTTTAGGCTAAATGTAACTGTTGTCTGCATAGATATATTTATGCAAACTTTTATAGTGCTTTTTTCTGACATTCTGCTACCACTAGCCCTCCACCACTGGGTCACCGGTTCGAGACCAACGTGGAGCAGTCGCCAGACACTGACCATAGGTCGCTGGGTTTTTTCCGGGAACTCCGGCTTTCTTCCACCACCAAAACCTGGCACGTCCTTAAATGACTATAGCTGTTAATGGAACGTAAAACACAAACAAACCGAAAGTGTCTTTCTCTTTATTGTCTTGACTTAGATATTAATGCGCTGATATATGTATATATATGTAAGAAGTGTAAGAAGTACTGTATATTTATGTACTCAATGTGCATTTTTGTGTATTAAGGTGAAACAAAAGACCAGCAAAATGTGAAGGTGTCAGAACAAGATTTCCTGGATGCTCTTTCAACTCTAACGCCTTCTCTGTCAGAACAGGAACTAGACCACTACAGACAGTTACAACAGGAGTTTAACAGGCAGTGAAGACAAATCTTGTATGATGTGATGGATACTGTTAGAGCTAGCTCACTACCACTACATGTATTTATAGGCAGTGAGGTCAAATCTTGTACGAGTTGATGGATACTATTAGAGCTAGCTCACTATACATGTATTTATAGGCAGTGAGGTCTAATCTTGTATGATGTGATGGATACTGTTAGAGCTAGCTCACTACCACTAGGCAGTGAGGTCAAATCTTGTACGAGTTGATGGATACTATCAGAGCTAGCTCACTATACATGTATTTATAGGCAGTGAGGTCTAATCTTGTATAATGTGATGGATACTGTTAGAGCTAGGTCACTACCACTACATGTATTTATAGGCAGTGAGGTCAAATCTTGTACGATGTGATGGATACTATTAGAGCTAGGTCACTACCACTAGGCAGTGAGGTCAAATCTTGTACGATGTGATGGATACTATTAGAGCTAGCCCACTATACATGTATTTACAGGCAGTGAGGACTGAGGAAGCATATAATATACATGTTATGTACAGTAGAGATATACTGATTCCAACTATACTGCTAGTTACATCAGCAGATCAACAGACAGCAAGAAGGAATCATTTCCTTATTTTACAGTGATAATGGGTGAAGTGTACAGTTGGAACTCACTGGTATTACTGACCATTATAGAAGATAAACTGAGGATGCTCTCTCACTTCTGTAATGATATCCAACAGTCTGTGAGAATTACAGAAGGTGTAGTTTGTTACAGAGAGTTACAGAAGGTGTAGTTTGTTACAGAGAGTTACAGGCCTAGAGTCAGTTTTATTTTCAGTAGAAATGGATATACTGCTGACTTTTTCAATAGGAAAACAAACTCGTAGATATCCAGATAATATGAAATCCTTATGTACTTTAGATTTTTTTACTAGTGATGGTTTTATTTTTCCGTCGTAATTTTAAATAACCCTGTGAGTTACAGTTACTTAAAAGTGTAAATGGTGTAGTCCAGAATTTTCACTCTGCAACCAACGCAGCATCAATTGTGCACTATATAGTAGTGTTCTGTCAAATGGACTATGACTATCAGCTAATAATAAAGAGGAAACATGGATTTTTTCTATAACATGTCAATAAAGGTAGGTTTTTATCTAAAAAATAAAAAAATGTATTAATCAATGTCAGCAAGTTCTATGGAACGTGTTATCTCAAAATATTTACCATCGTATGGCATTGTCACTATATAATCCTACCAAATTCAGTTTGCATTCATATAGGCTATGAATGTCATGGACTGATTGTTGACGTCTTCATTATTATGACGTCATTGTTGTTACGTTGGATACCACTGACCCTCCCTGGGCGATGGTTGTTCTATTCATTGAACAAGCATACACCATACATACATTTTTTTTTTTGCTTATAAATAATATTTAAAATGTAAAAGTAACGATTATATATGAGAATCAACTTCATGTTTGACAAAAGAAGACTGAAGTACATTACAGTACTCTGATGCTATACCAAAAAAACAACAATGGGTTTTATAAACTTTCCAATCTGAAATTATGTTTAAAAAAATTCAGCTGAGGAAGATAGCTGTTATTTGCTTAATTTGTTATTTAAAACTCTGTTTATAAATGCTTTGTACACATACCAGTAAAGATATATAAGGTAGAGAGGGACTTCCTGTAATTACATATTGTACATGGTGTATTTTTGTCTCAGCTTATCGGACTCGGACCAGTTAAAACAAATTGTGTCGTTAATTTGTAAAGTAATGATGGATGAATGATGGATTTTCTGTCGCCTTTCTCTGTTTGCTTGTGATTTGATTATGTGCCAACAATTATAATATAATGCTAAAATTATAAAGTAAATCAGTCAGCTTTTTTCAACCTTTTTCATTGTTACATGTAGTGGGGCAAAACTTGTGACAGTGAAAATAATCATGATCATGATGTCAACGTCCAATAAAAAGCTGTATGTATGATTTGAATGTTGACTGCTTCTGTTTTGTTACTGACGGGTATTCAATCATGCGTTGTTAATTATTAATTATTTTGTACAATTGTTAATGTATATTCAAATTATATTTATTCCAGATTCCAATAATTTTTGTTATTAAAGTAACTTAATATATTTTGTGTATTACTTTTAAAAGTACCTCGCCCCAGTTTCATAAAATAACATTTACCACCTGGTTTTTAAATTACCTGGGAAAAACAACCAGTGAAGAAGAGAATTTTTGTGAGGCTGGAGCCAGATACTACTGTGAAATCACTAATTTTTGAAGAGGGGGGTTGGAAAACCACAAAATTTGGGCCCCACAAAAATACCTGATTTCACAGTGTATATTACTGTTTATGAGAATAAAAACAATTGTCAATTGTTGTAAATGTTGATCGTTCTTTTAACTGACATTTAATGTCACACATATATATACAAATAACTGGTACAACATGTATCATGTAAACATTGTTATGTAATACTAATTTTTATATTGCATTGTTGTGACATACTTTGTACTGTGATCTTGATTGATGTAAAACTTGTATGTGAAAACTTATTTTATGCTCAAATATTTTGTTAGTTTTAAATCATATATAGTGAACCTCAACAACCTGACACTTCATGTGTAAATCTGGTAGTTTTTGTTACAGGCCTGTTTTTTTATCATGAAAATGTTTTGAACACTTTTGATTTCTTTAAATCTTAAATCTGAGAATTCTCACTGAATTTGCATTGTTTGAGATTTTCCTCTATGTTGAGATTTAACATGCAACTAGGGTTAAGTTCTGGTGAATCAAAGACCACCACATGATGCCTTTTTTTTCAGCATAACAGAAAGTGTTTGGAAGGATTGCAGACAAAAAGTATAAAATAACTGTTCTACCATAACTACTGACAAAAGTGATCCAGGGCAATCTTTGTTAGTTGATGAAAACCGAGTAAAATTTCAATCACAACATGCCAGGGGACAAGTTTTGTGTATTAATTAGATCTAGGGGTAATTGTAGAATAATAGAATCTCTCACCCCCTTGTGGGTGAGATAGGAGAATCTTTCCCCGAGGGTTGAGATTCCCCTATCTCACCCTCAAGGGGATGAATGATTCTTTTTCTCTTCCCCTGTTCACCCATTGTGTATCATATACACAATGTAATGTTAACGTTACAGGCTAAATTCAGGGTTGATGTGACGTTGATGGATTGTTGCCGTGACGTCATTGTATTGTTGACGTGACGTCATACCATTGTTATGAATAGGGGAATCCCCCCGTCTCAACCCTAGGGTGAGACAAGGAAATCTCACACCAGTAAAAGTACAGATACACCTGTCCAGGGTAAGAGAAAACATGGAAAATTAAGGTTACCCTTCCCAAATTTGTAGATGAATCTTGATCTAATCAACTCCTTCAAATCTAACCTCAACAAATACTAGTATCTTTTTCATACTTAGTTCTCTCCAGACTACATCAGAGGCATACGGTTGACAACATGTCTGAGCAGAATGCGTATCAAACAGCTACCTGCTAATAAATGGTGTCAACACAGAGGTTAGTAGTTTTGTTTACTAGATGTGAATCTAAACATACATATCAACAAACATCACCTCTAAAACGAGTGTGTTTCGTTCTCCTGGGGACAAAAACATGGTGAATGTTACTATAAATAGAATTGTGTATGTCGTCGCTTAGCAAATTCATTTCTTTCCTGATTGTCATGCAGCTTAAAAAACATGTTCATAAAGATTACCTCGTTTTGACCTCTCTAAGGTCTCTGTTAGGTATAAAAAGAGTATTTGACCTCATTGATCCTTAATTGCTGTATACACATATCTAATCACTTCCATTTAAGAATATGAGTGTTGTCTGCAATACCTTGTTTTGTTATACAACACAGCAGTTGTGTTCCTTTGTAAGTGTGCTGTCTAAAAGGGACACGCGCCACACATTGGTTTTAGGTATCGCATGTCCCTATGGCATGCCAAATGTTTAAAAGGGATAATAAATATGAGTTTCCTTTAGGCATCTCTATATGAAGTCAAAGAATTGTTTAAGCTGCATCACCCAATCAACTCTGAATGTTTTTATTGACCTGGGTCCTTGGAAGTGTTGGGAATCATATCACTACATGTACTATGAAATACATGTATGAATATCACTGTGAATATTTCACTAGGGCTCAACCTGCTAGCCTACAACAACTTGACACAGAATTTCCATCTTGTATACTTGTTAAGAATAATGAAATTTGAAACTGTATCTATAGAGATCCAGAATAATCACTTACAGACAGGAAACAAAAAAATGCATAACATTTTGAGATGTTTCTCAAGAATTGGATTTTCTTTATGCAAATTAGACTTGAAGAACTGAACCTTGTGTTGGGTTGGGTAACACTGTAAGGTAGCCCTGTAATTGTGTCAGGTTGAAGAGGTAACACTGTAAGGTAGCCCTGTAATTGTGTCGGGTTGAAGAGGTAACATTGTGAGATATTCTTTGTGTGCCATAATAAATACCCTACATGTCATGCTGTGTAATACAGACAGGAGTATTGTGCCTTTGGTGTAAAATAAAATCAAACAATGAACACATATTTTTGTTTATTTACATCTTTTGTTATCTAAAATAAAACACAAGTGACATGCATGCATCCATGTTGAATTCTCATACTTCGTGCTTTCAGTTGTTTCTTAAAATTACATGTATTATGATGTATTGACTCTCATGGAGATATGTCTATCTGCCCACCAGGAATTCAAAATCAATCATCAGTTTTTCTCTAGGTCTCTTAGATATTTCAGAACACCATTATGCTATTGTACAAGTAAATTAAAGTAATAAATGTGTAACATTGTATTTAAAACTTACATATGATACTTTATTTGCTACCATGGATTGAGGTTTCTTGAGACCTAGAGGTATTGTTAAAATCTTTGCAGGAATTATATAATATTGTGCATATAAAAACCGATTTTATTATTTGAATTTCAAGTGTTTATCAAGTCTATTGAAAAGCTTTTGTTAAATTTTACAACGTTTTGAAATGTAAGCCTGAGCCATTTTCTCGGAGTTGACAGTTGAATGCAAAAAATAGTAATGTATTTGACTAAACTAAATGCCAATTCAATCATTCTAGAAGTGCCACTACAAACACTGAACACTGTTTTTCATTGCTCACCACAGAAATCTTTGCCTGTCCATTGGCAGATAAAGGACTTGGTCAGAAGTCAAATCAAGTGTTTTAGCTATGGTGTCAAAAACACAGAGGTCTTTGTGACGTAGTTTTGCTGCAGGAATTTGTGGCAGATACACTAAGGCCTTTACATTCTTCAGGTCAACCATATCCACCACATCACGTTTAAAAATGTCACATGTTCTGTTATCTTGAATTTCAACAATATGACCATCAAGATCTGCAACCCACATCAGGTCAAAGTTATCATATGGCTTGAAAAAGTTCTGCAAACAACACACTATCATTTCACTCTTGATTCTGCAAAGATTCATTGAAGAATTACTCATTTTTACAAAAATCTGTATTGCCAAACTTTCATCTTCCTCAGGATCTTTAGTGAATGTTTTAAGGTATTCTTCATTCCTTTTGCCAAACCTGTCATCCACAAAAGCAAAATTTTCATGTACTTTCCTTTGTTGATTTCTGTGGTTAGGAGACGGACGATACAATTCCATATCATCATAACCGCTGTTGGAACTCCTTTTTATTTCGAGGAGGCAGATTCTGTCCAGCTTGTTTTCTAGGTAGTTGACATACCATGCTTGTAAATCAAGCCAGCAAAGTAAAGATCTGTCTGAGATTGGACCTCGAGGATATTTATCACCCAGAGCCTCATACACAGGGATAAACTTTGAATATTTCCAAATTTTGTTGGGCTTTATTTTCCTCGAAATTGTCTTTGTGCAAGATAAAGATGAATGAGGACTGATTTCCAACGAGTCAATACTTTTTGTTCGATTCATTTTGTCATTCATTGGACTTACATGTACAACAGCTTGGTGGCAACAACTATTGTTTTTATCTTCGTTTGACAAAATGAAAATTTTGTTTGAATGGATTTCTCCAGATGCTAAAAATACACCATGAAACGTACGAGTCTTCAATAAATCTACAGTGTCTTGATTATCTTGACAGGTGAGAAGCATGTGATTTGTCCTCTTCGTGAAGTAAAAGCTATGAGACTTGTCAAAACGTTCTTTGACGGACACCACAGATTGACTATAATAACGTGAATACACCGATTTAGCAGTTCTTTTCTGTTGTTTTTCTGAACTTCTTTTACTAAAAATGATTACTCTTGACTTGAATGCTTTACAAAGTTTCTTTGGTACTTTCTTTAACTTATCTTCAAAGTTGGGCATCTTCCCTGAGGTTTATATTGGCCCCTCCCATTGATTCCCCGCATACGTTCAAATGTCGGTCAGTTGTAGCACGTGTGTTTGTTTACAGATGGCGCTGTATGTGTGACGTCATGCTAGATTTTGCGTGTCCCAGACGCTTGTGTGCAGCAACATTTAAAGCAATGAAATTTAAGCGTGTGTTTGAGATCGAAACTGACAAGCATGGCCTCTGATACATCAGCAGCTGGAAGTATTCCTGACAATCTTTCTACTCAGCACATTATCAAGGAAGGGGATCAGGTTATACTAAAGAAAGGGAAGAACATTAAAGTTTTTCAGATAAAGAAGCGCAGGTAAATGTTACACCGCTTGTAAACAGTGTTTCTAAATCGTTGATATGCTCAGGAAGTCCTCAAAATGAAAGTAGACATATAGCAGGTTGGGGAAAACCACCAACTTGCGTATAATACGCTAACTCGCCTATTATAGTCCAGTTGGAGTATGGATTTGTTACTAAAAATAACCAAAATCGCTTTAACTGTAACTTTTGCAATTTATTATTAAAAATCGCATTAATTTACGACAAGGTAAATAATATTTTGTTTAAAAATGTTTACTGAGAGTGTTGGCTACTTAGGCTACATTCGCCTATCCATGGTTCTCAGTAATGTTTTGCATAGGTGGTTAAAGGAGGGCCTGGGGGTCTCCCCCAGAACATTTTGAAATTGTAGATGACTGTAGGTGGCATGTGAGCACTTTAGAGTGTTGTAATTAACTATTTCTACCTGAAATTTGTGTGAAGTTTTCCATAAAAAGTTTTTTCGAAACAATTGAAAAATATTCCTCTTTTGCTCTATCTGTTAATGTTTCAAATTCAATGATACTTGAAAACAAATCCATGCATTACAACCATCCAGATGTCAGAGGTGTTTCAGAATTTTAGAGCCCAAATCACCTGTATTTCTGTTCTGAGCAACAAAGAAATTGTTTATTTTGATTTTTTCTTTGCTCTCGTTTTGTATCAATTAGACATTTGTCGGCAGTGTTGCCTTGGTATAATTCAAATGCATTGGTGATCTTGCCAGGCGCGTAACAAACTATGTAGCAATAAAGCACGGGCTTACACATCATTTTTTGACAAATAAAAAAATATAAACGCAACATAGACTATATGATATAAAATATTAAAAAGCAATGACAGATGTTTTGTATCTGCTATAAAGACCGCCAACTAAAATGCTTCGTTGCATTCAAAGTCTCTAACAAATGTAGAACTGAGGGTAGCATATTCATTCGGCATGGTAATCGCGCCAGTGAAACTCTAGTCTAGCTAATTATCGGTGTACCCAAACACTAACTCTAGTTTTCCCTGTGAAATAAAGTGTTTCTAAGGTTTTTTTTACCGCTTTAATACATATGAAGGGAACAATATGGTTGGTAGCCTTGCTTCAATCATTTGACATGGTAACCGTGTCAGTGCAACTCTAGCTATGCAAATTATTGGTATACACATAGTACTCACTAGCCCCCCGCCCCCCGTGAAATAAACTGTTTCTATGATTTTTATCCCCTTTATTAATACAAAATACATATGGAATGGTCATAAACCATGGCTTTATATCTTACACATTGACCAGTATATCGGTTCTTATGTACATAATGTTAAACTATTCCTAGTGCTAGCTTGTGATACTAGTCTCATATCCCTGCGCAACCGGAGTCACAGTCGCGAGGAGAAACGTCACACTCTTACAACAACTATCCCAAAATCCACATGATTTTAGATTTTTC